TCCCTTCTTGTGATGCCTCGTGTGTGCCGTGGAACTACATTGAGGAGAGCACGAGGCGTTAGTGTCACTGTTATTTTTTTGGGCGCCACTGCTCTTTTTGGGTGCGTGATTCGACTGTGTGGTGGGTCGGTGAGGGGGAGGATGTGGATGGGCCGCGCCTACCCGACTGCTGCACCCCATTTTGCTGAACGCCCTGAACGAATTGCTGGTCTCCTTTTGCTTGCCCTATCGGGCCTGGCGACCTCTTGAGGAGCGGTGCGACGGCGTGGACTGTCAGGCTGCTGAGGAGGCCGTGGCTGCGCGGGATGTCCTTCGGATTTTTTGCGTTTCGGGACTACTGTAGAGAAGAGGGCATTTCATGCCTCCTTAACGTCCAGGAGAGTCAATGGAGGGATCACGGTTGTGGGATCTCACTTCACGAGGGCCTGCGCCCGTTGATCGCGTCGACGGTGCGCTCTGTGTGTCTTCGAGCCCTGCCGGAGCATCCCGCTGTTTTTGTTCCGGTGAACGGGAAAATCCACCGACACGCCGAGGGAGTGGTGGGGATGTTGCAGCGAGGAACGCTTTAAAGGCCCTGCAGTGAGGGAGCGCTGCTTGCAAGGACCCCGCAGCACTTGGGATTTTTATTGCACTTACTTTCTGCTGCCTGTCTGTTGGTTGGTGCTGCTTGCCGGAGGGTGTATTGGCTCGTGCGCAAACGTCAGTGTCTCTGCTTCTGCCTGCGGCCTCACAGTGCTTGAGCCGTTGTTGACGGGGAGATTAATTACTGTCGCGGTTACGACGACGCTGGTGTGTTACACTGTGGATGGCGGCGCCACCCACTCCCCTGCCACGCTCTGTATTGGTGCTTTTTAAAGTTTAATTTGATTTCTTGCGCGCAAACACACACGAAGAAGGAAAACAAATGCGAATCGATACTGTGAAATTCGAAGGCTCTGAAAGGACCAACAGCACACACACACCGCCCACACACACATATTTACATGCTCTCACGTGTTTCTGCTGTGAAGGCACCCCGCACACACAACCGTCGCCGCGTGACCGGATCCAGCGGGAGGAGGAGGGAAGGAAGAGAGAGTGAGCCGCAGAGGCCCAACATTTCGCGGCATCTCTTATACTCTGCGGTGCTGCTCTTCCTCGTCGTGATGATGTGCTGCGGTACTTGTGGAGCCACGCCTGCAAAGGATAATGATGGCAAGAATGATTTAAGAAGTGTTCAGGGGCCGGAGAGGGTCGATCTATTTTTTTCACGGAAGAAAGTGTTGCAGCTGAGGGATGAGGTTGTTCCAGGCACGCCAAGGGATTCATTTGTTTTACCCTTTCTCGTCAGAGCTGGTGGAGTAATTGCTGCTTTTGCCGAAGGTCACATTTGGATGCCGGATATCAAGGTGGCCAATTAACTAAGCCCTTTTCTTCTGATGTTGTTGCGGGGTACATTGACTCTGCGTGGGATTGTTCCACTCTTGTTGGTGAGGTCAATAAAAGATACATGGAGCGCACACAGTGTGCTTGGTGCAGCGGAGGGAAGGGAGAGTTTGGGTGTTGTGCACCACTCCGCAACAATCACGAAGGGCCACGGAGTGTTTCCTCTTGCGGGAGGCTCGGATGTGTCCTACGAAGGTGGGTGTTGGAGAGAGGGCGGCTTGGAGCTGGAACTGTTTGTGGGTGATGTCACGAATCCCACGGGTGGCAAGCAGAGTGAACGGATCGAATGGGGCGACCCCAAACACTCTTGAAACTGATCTCTTCTGCTTCTCACGAAGGCGAACGGACGGAGCTCATTGCTTCTGGTGGCCCAGGTGTTGTGATGGAGGATGGCACCTTCCTGTTTCCTCTGATGGCGAAGAATGAGGCAGAATACGTTTGCTCCATGACCATTCACTCGACGGACAACGGCAGTAACTGGGCGCTCTCTGAGGGCATGTCCCCTGCGAAACGTCTTAACCCCCGCGTCACCGAGTGGGAGGGATCACTTCTCATGATTGTTGACTGCGAGAATGGCCAGAGGGTGTACGGGTCGCGTGGCATGGGGACAACGTGGACGGAGGCCATCGGGAAGCTTTTAGGCGTGCGGGTCAACTCAGGATCGGGAGCCTCGCAGAAAGAAAGCCTGCATGTGGATGCCCTCATCACCGCGACCATTGAGGAAAGGGAAGGTCATGCTGTACACTCAGAGAGGGTACGCCTCGGTGGAGAATAAGGCCAATCCGCTTTACGTTTGGGTCACGGACAACAACCGCACGTTTTACTTTGGACCGGTTGTCACGGACAGTGCTGTGAATTGGATGCTCGCCAGCACCCTGCTGCACTCGGATGGGGATTTGCATCTTTTACAACGGAGGGGCAACGGTGAGGGCCGTGCCATTTTACTTTCCCGCCTGGCGGAGGAAGTGAGTGCAATCAGGTCCGTCCTCGGTACTGGGGCACAAAAGGACACTTTCTTCTCCAGCGTGTCTATACCCACGGCGGGTCTGGTGGCAGTTTTGTCCGATGCGGCCAGTAATGGCACGTGGAACGACGAGTACCTTTGCCTGCATGCGACGGTGACGAATGCAGTGAAGAACAACGATGGGTTCCGATTCACGGGAATTGAGTCCAGGGCAATATGGACTGTGAACACTCGCAGTGATAATGTGCGTCATGTGTTTTTGAGCCACCACTTCACAGTTGTGGTGTCGGTGACCATCGAAGAGGCTCCGAGTGGGAACACTCCTCCACTGACTGCGGTGTTGGCAAACACTGAGTCCAATCGTACCATGGGACTGTCGTGGAACTACAATAAGAAGTGGGTGATTTTGTTTGAGGGCACGACAAAAGCACGGAGGAGCACTTGGGAGCCGAAGAAGGAAGAATACCAAGTGGCACTCATGCTGCAAGGCAACAAGGCCTCTGTGCACATTGATGGTCAGTTGCTGGGGGCGGAATAGGAAGAAGTGCTGTTAACAGGTCAGAAGCCACCTGAGGTCCTGAGGTTTTGCTTTGGCGCGTGCTGTGGGCACTAATCTCATGTGAAGGTGACGAACGTCTTTCTGTACAACTGCCCACTGAACTCCACTGCGATGCGTGCACTCAAGGACAGAGACCCCGTTCCGACGGGGGAAGCGGCTCCGACACCACCCGAGAAGATTCGAGTAGTTGACTGCGTCAGAGAGCACGTTGCTGGGGATATTACGGAAGAGAAATGAATGAGCACCACGCCCCTGGACACGAATCCCCATTAAAAAAAGTCACCTTGCAGTGTGTGGAGCGGCGTGAGTCCCGACGACCACCTCGCCTCTCTCAACGACGTGAAATTGACACTGCGCGATTTAAGCGGTAACAACACCGTGCGTGTGTGCGTGTCGTGTGTGTTGCTGCTTCTACTGGGACTGTATTTGGGTGGTGGCAGTCTTCTGAGCCACGGAGTGTGGATTTGCGACGCCTCACGGAGAATACATGCCGCATTGCCCTTCTTTTTTATACCACCGTTTTAATTCTATTTTACTGCTCGTTTGGTTCTTCAATGTCTTTGCTTTTCAGTGTTCTTTTTAATGTAGTTCAGCTGGAGTAATAACTAGTTTTGTTTTTGCTTTACGTGGTGTTTGGCAGCTGCGCACCGTCATGAGCGACGTGTTTCCCTCTCTTGTTTGCTTTCTTGTCGCCCACACGCGGTGCCGGCCCTTCGGCTGCGCGTTCCACGGACTGCACGAAACACGAATTGGAAGAACAGGCCGATTGCTGCATGAAATGTGAGGGATGTTTTGTGGGCTGGTGGAACAGTGCAATTTCTTTTTTTAATTTAGTTTTTCTCTTCCTTCCTGGTGCGGGCGATATGTATAAACACAAACACACGGTCGTTTTGTTGTGCTGCTCGGCACATGAAATAAAAGTCTTGCCGAATCGATCTTTAAAAAAATGTAGTGAATTTCCGTCAACTCCTCCTGGACTTTTACCCTTTTTTTTTTCTTTGGTAATTCACTGCGGCGTGCTTTTGTTGTGCCGTGTCCGCTGTCACCTTGTGTTACTGTGTCTCTTTTGTTGTCCCTCTGCTGGCTGTGCTTTTGACACGCCCTTATTTCATTTTCTTCTTCTCCGCTAGAGGCACCGATGGTCCGCGGCGACGATTGTTTGTGGTCCCGATTGCGATGGCAGGAGGGCGACTGGGCGACGACCTGCTGAGTGCACTCGAAGGGAGCGGATGGAGTGCGCCGTGCCTCATTTGTGGGTGTGGGACGCCAACCCGCCGGTGAAGGGAGAAGTGAAGGACTGCGGTATGCACTTGGATGTGCCCCGTCCCTCTCGTTGAGGCCGTGTGTTTGCTGTCCGCATGGTCCTATCCTGCGGTGCGACGTCGGTGGCACGGCTATTGCATGTGTCCTTGTGCATGTGCTGTGCGGCGGGCTTCTGTTCGCCATGACACCGCCCTTGTGTGCGGGAGAGTTGAGTGAGTGAGGGTGGCCGTTGTTTCCGCACATTGTGTTCTTTCACAAAAGTGGCACCTCTCGGCCGCCACTCGCAGTTCCCAGGCCGTGTATTGAGAGAATGTGAGGGTCTGCTTCATGTACAAGGAGGACAACGAGATGCAGTGCATGACGGCCAACCTGATCCGTGTGTGGTTGCGGCGCATGGAGCACGTGCGCCAGCACGCATTGGGCGTAGCGCTCATGATTGGAGAGGAGAGGCGGCACGACGTTGCGGCGCAGCGGGAGCGCATGACGGACTGCCTGTGCTGGGAGGGGCGCGTGTTGGATTGAGCGTGTCGTGCCTGTGAGGGACTGAGGAGAGAGGGAATAATAGTAATGGTGACTGTGGGAGTGTGAGGAACGGTGTACGGCGAGGAGCGCTCCTCTTTTTTTTTTTTTTGATTGTTGTTGAGCCGCGCCCACCCAATTGTTGTTGTGGTGTGTGACTCTCATTGCTGGATGGGACGGTGCGTGGTTGTGTGAATTGTCTCTCCTTTTGCTTTTTGCGTTGACGGGGAGTTAGTTTGTGCTGAAGGCTGCACGCAAGTGACGGGAGTGATGGCGATGATGATGACTGGCCGTGTGCTGCTGGTGTGTGCCCTCTGCGTGCTGTGGTGCGGTGCCGGCGGTGTTTATGCGAGGGACATTCTCAAAAACGCACAGGGTGGCTGCATGGCGTCGGGAGTGTTGGGTGAGAATGGATCCCACATGCCTGACGGATGTAATAAAACTGCGATTACGGTGCCTTTGCGGTCAGTACTGCCCATTACTGCCGTCGAAGCTTCAGATGGAGAAGGTGCTTCTCAGCACGCAAATAATTCAGGTTCAAATGCAAATAATTCAGGTTCTGGTGGTGGAGGCGGTTCTGCTGCTGGTCCAGGGGCTTCTGTTGGTGCAGGAGTTTCTGGAGAAGGAGATTCTGGTGGTGGAAGCGGTGGTGGAGGCGGTTCTGGTGGTGCTGGAGGCGATTCTGGTTCTGCTGATGGTGCAGGAGGTCCTTTTGCTTCTCCTCCTGGTCCTCCTCCTGCTCCTCTTGGTGGTCCTTCTGCCGCTTCTGCTCCTGGTGTTGATTCTTCAGCTGGCAGCAGTGATGGTACAGCGGAGTCCTCAGGCAGTCATCCAACTAACACAACAGGGGACTCTTCAACAGGAGATCAGTCGTCTGCTGCAGCAGCGGCTAACGACTCCTCGCCACCCGAAGGACCGGCAGGAACGACATCCGGCGCTGGACACACACGACAAGAAGAAGAAGAGGAAGAGGAAGAAGATCATGAAAAGCAGCAGCAAAGTGATGAAGCACAAGTCCAACAACATCAACGGCATGAACGCCCCGCGGAAAATGGCGAAGAATCCGCGAAGGATAAAAACGCCCTTCGTACAAATGCCACCGCAAATAAAGACGACAGTGACAGCAGCACCGCGGCCTCCCACGCCACCTCCCCTCTTTTGCCTCTTCTTGTTGTTGCGTGTGCGGCTGCTGCTGCGGTGGTGGCCGCGTGAGAGTGAGGGAGAGAGAGCCGTGCACCGCCCGCACACACACTCGTCTTTCACTCACTCTCTGTGTGTGTGTCCCCTTGCATGGACTCTCGCCCTCACCTCACCCCACGAAGCACACACATAATGTGCCCATTGTATATATTGCATGCACACCCGTGCAGGCCCGTTGATTCTCTCTTTTGCACCACACGCACCGCTGCCGTCCTGCCTGGCTGCATGGGCGGAGCACCGTAACTGTTTCTGTTTTGTTTTTATTGCATTGAGTGGGCGACCTCTCTCTCTCTCTCCCTGTTGGGCTTTACGGGAGCAATGAGAGTGTGTGCGCTGGTCGTCCCACGCTTCGGCTTTTTTAATTTTTTTTTATTTTGTTGTGGTTGAGTGCACCCATTTTACTTTTTGAACGGCGGCATGCTGTGACAGCGGACACTTTAATCTTCTCTTATATTCTCATATTGTTTCATTGTTTCAAAAGTGTCACCCTCTTGTATTCTTGTCGGGCCATTAGGTTTTCTATACGTATGCCATGCGTCAGTTGATCCACGCCACCCCGCAGCCTCCAGCGCTGCTGTTACTTCTGCTCATGATGTTTTTGATGTGTTGTACCGGCTGGTGCTTTGCTGTCACCCTGACGTACCCTTTCTCCCTCTGACAAGGCGATGCGTGCCGCTAGCGCCAAGTCGATCTCGGCTGTGGTGAGGGACGTGTCCTTTTGGAGCAGAGGGTGCGTCACAGACATACACCGTCGTCGGGAGGAATGGATGGGCACCTATCCGCATCAATGTGTCGACGAGAGAAATGGATGATGCCAGGAATTATTGCGGCTCAGGGCGTCCTTGCGCAATGATTTCATTGTGTGAAAATTGTGACTGTAACGATGACGTCTTTTTATACTGAGAAAAGGGAACTTTTTCATATATCCGTTGCGGCCGCTGTTCGTTAATGGCCTGAGGAATGTCCGTAGAAACGTGGCTATTTTTTCCGTTTCGAAGGGTGATGTCGTACGAGAAGGGGTATCCTCAAATAGTTCAACACTCGGTTGTCGAAGACAAAGACGTTTCCACAGCATCTGCGATAGAGTTTCCCGTGGACCGTCGGGGGCTCAGTGGTTGGTTGGGGTTGCAGCAGAGAAGTGGCTGAAGGGCTGTGGTAGTCATTGGAGCTTGCAGAGTTGCGCTTTTTGTTTTTTACTTGTTGATACGCTTGGCATTTTCGGTAATGACCCACGCGTGAGGCACCTGTTAGGAAGACCGTGGAGCTGTCACAGAATCCACATGTGAGGCCTTCAAAGATTGGAGTGCCAGGGTTAGTGCGTCGGGCGTGTGCCTTCATATTGTGGACGGACGAGAAGACGCTGCTGCAGCTTGGGCAGGGCGACGTTGATCCGCTGCTCGTCGTTCTACGAGGAGGTGCCGTGGACACGCCAGGTGGAGGTTCCGGAGGAGGTCGGGGCGGTCCTGCCTCTTCAGTGTGAGGGAGGGAAGGCGCTACCGACATAAAGGGTTGCTTGTGATCCGCAGGGCGCGTGCCGGTCTGCCGAAGAGTGGGCAGGAAGACGTCAACCAGCCGCTTGTTGGTCGGCAAGGAGTGGCGGTGCTCACGTCGGGAAGAGGTTCCGGCGGAGGCAGAGCACAGACGCGGTCCCAACAGTACCGCAGCACGGCCGATCCCAGAGGGCGGGGACGTGGTGCCTCCATGCCTCGCGGCATCACAGGCCTGGGCTCGAGAGGGCACCAAGCTCTTTCGCACGGACCACAAGCAGCATGGAGAAGCCACGGCGGAGGGCATTATTGCGGTACTCCCGTTTGCGGACATCTTCAGCTGGAGGCAGCCTGCTTCCCGGTGAGGCCGTGTGCGCGTCCCATGCTGCCGCTGCAACACACTCGGCCTGCTCCACTCTGACCGTCCAGGTTCATCAGTGGCTGTCACGGCTGCCACTCGTACGGTGCCTCGGTGCATCTCCAACCACGTGGTCACAGCGGCCAGAAGCATTGCACACACCGAGGTGGAAGCATTCCAGTCGGCTTCACGCAGACAACGACGGCATGTTTCCGTCGTGGCAGCATGCCTGCCGGTCGCGGGATGCCGTCCTCCGTTACTGCAGTATACAATGGCAGATGGTGATCCGAGTCCATGTAAACAAGTGGACGTCCAGTGGGAGACACGCAGTACGCGTTGCGCAGTCACGTCGGGAAACGAGACGATGCGGCCGCTAATCCGCGTTGCCTGTGCCGGGTCGTCGGACAGCTCACACTCCATGCCGCTTGGGGTGGCGGCGAGGTTCTCTCCTGCCGTCGTTGACGTAAGCGACCGTCACGCAGCTCATGGTGTAAATTCAGGTAGCACGCAATAGGCGCTGCAGAACCAAGGCGACAAATGGTGCTCGCAAAGTGAGCAGCGTGAGCGATTGCCAGAAAAAGGCTGCAGAGGTTCACCACGTACATGCTGGGGCTGGCCGGTGGGCGCACGCGGAAGGCAGTGGTCTCCACGCAGTTGTTGCCAGCAGCGACAGGCGCTCGCACGGCAAGGCGTGGCGCACCAAGAAGGCCACGCCACCAGCACGACCACTGCAGGCCTGGTGGAAGTCACTGCAGCCAACGCGCCGCGTCGCTGGGGCACACTGGTGCCTGCACTCCTGCAGAAAAGCGGTTTCAGTCTGGTGCTGCGCCAGTCGAGCAGCAAGGGCAATCCTGAAGGGCGAAGGGCTGGAAGTTCCGAGCTGCCAGATAACTACGAGGCCATCCTCATCGGGGCTGCGGCTCCTGCGGACACCACCGCAGCGGGTGATGCCGACGGAGTGACCGCAATAAAACGACTGTGCGGTTCTGTCAGTTGAGCCGCAGGCAAACCGCCTCGCCACTCCACAAACAACAGAGCGTGGGACCCTCTCGAGGGGTGACGCCGCCGTGGTCCCCATCACGCTCGCAGCAATGCCCTGCTGCAATCACTCCCACAGAGAGACAATAAAAAATGTGTGGATGTGTGTCGAGAACACAGCGACTGTCATCGTCAGAGGAGGCCATCGTGGCACCGTCCGTCACGCGTCAGCAAACACCTAGCAACACAAACACACAAAACAGCAGGCGGGATGCAAGAGAACACGACCGTCCTTTTCAAAGCCCACGTGCTGCCGCAATCGTGTTACTGTTCTCCCTTCCGGCGCGCCCTCCAACCCCTATCGCTCCGCACAGCCGGGGAATCCCCCTCTGCCGATGGACAGCAAAAGAAAAACATCGGCACGTGCAGCCGCTGGGCGGAGATCAATCCGCACTTATACCAGTCACCGTCAATGACAAATCAAATCAGTCAACTGCTGCACGCCGCCAACATCCCACCCCCAGTATGTCAATGAAATAATTCGCGTGCACAGGCCTTCCCTCCTCGCGAGGGCCGTCGCAGCCAGAATCATGTGCATGTGTGTTTGCGTTCTCAGCATTCACGCCGCTCCACAACGTGTGCTACATGGCATGTGTGTGCTTGTGCTTGTGTGTTTGTCAGCGCCTATAATTGCAGAGCAGCTGTGCGCCACAAGAGAGTCAGAAGAAAGCAACGGCAGAGAGAGGCAGATAGAACACACGCACAAATTACTCATATCATCACACACAAACACACACACACGCAGCCCGCGGAATGGGTGCTCTCAACCACAAAACAATAAAAAACAAAACAAAAAGCCGAAGCGTGGGACGACCAGCGCACACACTCTCATTGCTCCCGTAAAGCAAAACACACACACAGGGGGAGAGAGAGAGAGAGAGGTCGACCACTCAATGCAATAAAAACAAAACAAAAAGAGTTACGGTGCTCCCCCAATGCAGCCAGGCAGGACGGCAGCGGTGCGTGTGGTGCAAAAGAGAGCACCAACGGGCCTGCATGGGTGTGCATGCATATATACAATGGGCACATTATGTGTGTGCTTCGTGGGGTGAGGTGAGGGCGAGAGTCCATGCAAGGGGACACACACACAGAGAGTGAGTGAAAGACGAGTGTGTGTGTGCGGGCGGTGCACGGCTCTCTCTCCCTCACTCTCACGCGGCCACCACCGCAGCAGCAGCCGCACACGCAACAACAAGAAGAGGCAAAAGAGGGGAGGTGGAGTGGGAGGCCGCGGTGCTGCTGTCACTGTCGTCTTTATTTGCGGTGGCATTTGTACGAATGGCGTTTTTATCCTTCGCGGATTCTTCGCCACTTTCCGCGGGGTGTTCATGCTGTTGATGTTGTTGTTGCAGCAGTTCTTCTTGAATTCCTTCTGGTTGTACAGTTGACAACGACCTCTGCGTTGTTTCCAATCCCGCGGGTGAGGCGGACAGTGTCCCTTCTTTTTCTTGCTGTTCCTGTTGATGCGGCAGTTGGTTTTCTTCTTGTTCTCGTTGTTCCTTTCGTGTTACTGGTCCCTTTTCATTTTTCTCATTTTGTCCATCGGCTCCTTGTTCCCGTTGTTTTTCTTTTTCAGCAGCCTCTGCGTCTCTTACCAGATGTTCTCCTGTATGCGTGCGTGTTACTTCCTGCTCAATCTCAGTTAAATTCGCTTTCGGTTCAACTGGAACACGTAAAACTTTTTCATTTGAAACCTCATGCCCTCCATCTCCTGTTTGTTTACGGCCAGCAACAACTTTATCTTCTCGGTCCTCTTCCTGGGAATCAACATCGTGTTCGCCTCCTTCCAAAGGCCTTTCTGTGGGTATGTCGGATGCCTTTATTTCAACTGTGGGTTGATGTTCTTTTCCTTGTGGCGATTGTCCTTCTTGATTGCGTAAACCTTCTTCTCCGACTGAGAGTGTTTGATCCTTCGGTTCTACTTTTATTTCTGTTTTTTGTCCTTCTGAATTTGTTAGCAATAATGCGTTTTCTGCCTTTGAGGAAGTTGTTGGCGATGGTCCTGGCGGTGAGTGATTTCTCGTGCCGGCTGCCGTTGAGTCTTCCTTTGGCCTCTGACTCGCAGTTATTTTAGCGGGATCGGCACCTGCATTCACTTTCAGTCCGTCTGGGCTAATTGCATCCCCGCTTAATTTCAATGTATCCTCCCTTGCCGGAAGATTCGGAGGTCCTCCTACTACTCCTGGCAGACCGCTTCCCTCTTGCAAGCCCTGAACCGAAGGAGATGATACTTTCAGCCTGTCATCGCTTTGGCCAATATTTCCCTTTCCATCAACGACACCCTCAACCGCGGCAACGGCATACCGCTGATGTCTCCAACGACGACGGCCATCCACAACGGCACGCAAACTCTCCAGCCCCTGATAGACGCATTCCTCAACAGCGGACGCATTCGTCCTGCCTCCCGTCCTCCTGATGACCTCCTCCGCGCATTCCCTCCGCAGCCGGGTAAGCCACAACGCCCTCAAATCCTCACCCGCACTGCCATCGCCACCGCCAGCACCGTCGGCCACAACTCCAGAAAAACCCCACCACAGCACGCAGAGGGCACACACCAGCAGCACACGGCCAGTCATCATCATCGCCATCACTCCTGTCACTTGCGTGTAGCCTTCAGCACAAACTAACTCCACGTCAACGAAAAGTAAAAGCAAAGAAGACAATTCACACAACAACGCACAGTAACGAAAGGCAGCAGCCCAGCAACGCACACACAACATATGACAGAGGGAATAGTAAGGGCAAGAAAAAGCGCACCACCCTGCAAATCAGAATTTATTAAAAACAAAAAAATACACCCAAGGCTCCGCTGCGCATGCAAACGAGTGTGCCTGAGACTCGTTCAGCGTGACGGATACAGGGAGCAACGCGGAGCATACAGCAGGGCAGCGGAAGCAAACAAAACAAAAACACAATCATCATAATTACTCTTACTTTATACGTCGGACCACAGTAGACACACACATGTCCCCGCCGTTGAGTGCTGGCACGCACAGCCCGCATACACCTCTTCAGCCCACAGTGGTGTACGCCAGCGCGGATACGGCGAGCAGCAGCGGGGAACACACCCACGCAGAGCTGCTGAGGCTGCCGTCAGTTTCGCGGAGACGTGACGGTGCGCTGGTCGTCGTGATTGGCGCCTCCGTATTTGGCATTTTTGTTTTTTGGCGTGATGTCTGTGACGTATGATTCTCAGCACCTTGTGGATATTCCTCCGCTTTTTATTTTGTGCATCTGACTTACCGGTCGCACCTTATGTGTGTCGAGACTGCGTTGCCAAACCTGGTGACTCTGGATTATCGTTAGCAAAACTTAGTGGCTGTGGCGCACCCGGTGTGTGTCCAGTGATGGCGGTACCTGCTTCCTTTGGCAAAGAAGGTCCTTGACTTCCTAAAACTTCCTCACGGTTTCCCCCACTCTCTCTCTGTGGCCTGCCAGTTTCTCCAACCTCTGGCTGTAATGCGCCATGCGCATTTCCTGTAAAATCTGGTTTCCCTAGCTTAGGGTTGAAAGGACTGCTGTCATCATTATTATCGCCTCCTCACGCCGTCACGCACACGGACGTGCAGCAGCAGCACGAGAGCGCAAGGACCAACACGGCGCACACCACACGGAGCCGCACCGTCACCGTCGTCATCAACGCAGTCAACATCACCCGTAGTGGAGTCGCTGGAGTCAGTCAGCTGATCCGTGAGCCATAAGGAAAAGGAATGCAACAAGAGGGAAAGGGACGGAGTGCAGCGGATACAGCGAGGGAGAGCAGACAACTTGAGGAGAGGGCAGCAGGCCCAGCCACACAGTTCACACACCACGAGACGGCATCCACGCAACTAAGGCACACAACGCCAGCAGCCACCCACCATGCAGGAGGAGAAGATATCCACCACCATCTACTCCCAGCTCATCTCTACAGCCCCACGGAAATGGCAAAAACCTGCGGCCACCACACAACGCACACGGAGCAAGCGAACCCTCATCCATCCATGACGCGGCACCAAAATTTCCTGCCATCCCGCCCTCAATGGGACACGGAGCCAAACTCAACGCAGCCACACGCGGTGCACCACACCCGCAGGAAAAGAGACTCGGGCTGCGCACACCCTCTCCCTCCTCCTCCCTTCTCCTCATGGCCACGGAAGAAGACAACAGCCGCCACATGCAACTGCCAGCATGCACTGCAAAAGGAGCATTCAAATCCACTACAATGTGCATCTTGTGTGTGTGTGTGCCTGCAAAAACACAAAGCAAAGAAGTGGAAAAGAGGGAGCAGAGTATGCGGAGAGACGCACAAAAATGTACAGCGGAGACGCGTGGCGGAAACAACAAGAAGAAGACCGGTCAAACTCATGACTGCACTGCAGCCCAATCAGTGGCAATTCACAAAAGATTTATTTAAAACAAAAAGAAAACGTTCCCCTTCTTCTTATGTAAACCCCATCACACAAAATAATTACAAATGAAAAAGAAATCGTCCATTACTGTTCCACACAAATTAAAAAAAAAAGTCGCCTGGCTGCCGTGTGGCCAAACCAAAATGTCTGCATATATTTTGCCCAAAAGAAAGATGAAAAGATGGTTGCGTGTGTTTCAACCGTCTGACCCTCCATGTGTCCGCACGTCGTTTATATTTCATGGGGTCATCTGCGTGTTGCTGCTCCCCTCAGCCATTTCATCGGCGTGCGAGTGCGGCCCGCAGAGCACAGTCACTCGTGTGTGTGTGGGGACTGAGAGAAGCACGCAGACACGACGGGAGTCGCGTCTCTCCATCGGGAGAGTGAGCACAGCAAAAGAAAAAAAAATCATCCGAGGGGAGAGAAATGCTGACTGCACTGCCAGCGCGTGAAATGCGCACGCAAAGCAAAAAAAGAAACAAAAGAAAAAGAAAAACACGGCGGCAGGGTGCGGCTGTGTGTGTGGCGCTGCGGGTGTCTGCCAGCCCTGGCCGCAAAAAAAACAAAACAAGAGGGAGAGAAATGTGTGCTCCGCCCCACAGGCCCTCGTCGCACGCCCACACGTCACGGCTCCCTCAGCGCGCCGTTCGTCGCGGCCCCTCCTCATGCGTGCAGCAGGCGAGGCGCACAGGGCCGTCGTCATGAGCGTGTCGGTGGGTGTGCGAGTGGAGCAGTTGGGCGGGAAACACACGGCACCCCTCACAGGAAGAGTGCAGCAAGAAACAATTAAAGAGGGAAGAGTAGAAAAAAAAAAAACGCGTCCATAGTGATTGCCCCCAAAAGCAAAATAGAAGGAATGTGGGGAGTGAGAGAAAAACAGAAAAGAATTTTGAAAAAAGACACACACATAGACTCGCGCAACACAATAAAGAAAAAATGGAAAATAAAAAAAAAAGCACAACTAAAAACAATAATAAAAAAGGGAGAAAAAACTTAAAAACGCGCAACAAAGCAAACAGGGGGGAAAGCAATGTTATTTAGGAAGAGAAATTCATTACCAGGTGTGTGTGTTGGTGCAGCGGAGGGTGCAATTGTTCCACGCGGCTGCCAGTCACTCCTCACAGAGCCGCAAACCCCCACAGTCCCAACAGAAGCAGCAGCGACGGCAGCAGTCCGCTCTCACGCACAGTGCCAGCGTCGCTGTTATTCCCCTGCGGCACATTTCCGAGGCTGCTGCTGAGTGCTGTGGCATTCACTTCCCTGTCGTGTGTATTAACCTCCTCCTCCTGCCCATTCGTTCCTCCTTCTCTTGTCTCCATCGTTGGTTCGCCATCAGCAGTAGAACCGCCACCCACAGTTTGAGTTCCATCGGGAGATGCTCCTGACGTCACCTGCACTACGGACTCCTCTTCTGCTGAGGAAGTGCTGACAGTGGACACCGCTGATGCGGATGCACCGCCACTGCCCGCATCTTTACTGCTCCCCATCGACTGTCCCTGTTCTGTCAGCTGTGTTTCGGCAGGAGTGGACGAAGTTTCGGTTTTCTGAGCATTCGGGGTCACCGGAGGACTGGGAGGTATAATGGAAGCAGAAGAAACTGTTGAAGTCTCCAACGGATTCTCTTCCAAAGATGGAGTGGAGTCTTTATTCGGGTCGATGGCGCCAATCTCTTCAGAGCTCAACGGGCGGTTGTACAGCAGGACGTTCTTCACAGTCACAGACACGCCTTCTCGGCTTTCTGTGTTGTCTGTGCTGCCTCCATCCCCTCCAATGTAGAAGTGGGAGATCCCTTTCGAATCTGTATTTTCCAATTCACGTGGCACATCCTCACCCACTTGCTTACCATCGACGTACGCGGTGACCTGGTTGCCGTTCCGTATCAAAAGCACCACGTGCTGAGTTTTCTCTTTCTCCCAAGTGTTGCTGTGTTCCTTAGGGGTTTCGTCACCACACAGCAACTGCCACTTCTTTTCGCTGTCGTATGACAACTCCATAAGTTTGGTTTTTTTTTCATCGCCATTCATCATCACACCCATCAAAGGAATAGGATTATCTTCCTTCGGCTTACCGTCGATGGACACCGTCGCCAAAAGAGTGAAGTTGTAGTTCGCAAAGTGGTACAGCTGATTCTCCCCCTGCTCGCCAACGGGCCACTCCGCCCACGCTCCCTGGAACTTCACGCCGTTATCCGAATCCACTGTGGCCGCTGCTGCACCGCCATCATTCCCCTTTACCGTGGCGTTCACCCCGAGGTACTCGTCCCTCCATGTCTTATCAGAGAAGTTGCCGGACAAAAAGCCAACCAGCCCAGCCGTCGGCATGGCAGCGCTGCAGGCATCGTCAGGTGAGGCACTCTTCTCAGGACTCCCAGAAGGGCACAGTTTGGAGACACGTTCGTCCACTTCCTTCCAGGTCGCCAGCACGTCCTTCACCCGCTTCAGCTGCTCAGTCAGACGCACAGAGACCATACCGAGTGACGCGTCCTTATCACCGCTCTCCTCCTCGTACAGTGCAATCAACTCATCATTCTTATCTTTACCACTTTTGTACAACAGGGAGCTGGCGGAAACGTCATCATCCTTCTCAGATACCGGCCCAATATCAACAATGTGCGTATTGTCCGTCAGCCAGAGATGGAGTTTACCGTTTTCATTCTTTTCATGACCTTTTCCTTCTCCGTTCTTGGCATACACTGGCAGAGTGACGAGCATCACTTTTTTATTATCTTCTCCAACAGTCGCTGTGATGAACCCGCTCCCAACGCCCTTCTCAGGTCCCGTGTGTTTGTTGCCCCACACGCGCGAGAGTGTCCCGAGTGCCTCCGTCCACGAATCCCCCTTGTCGCCGGACTCGTACACCCTGCGGCGGCCATCATCACACGCTGTCATCATCATGAGTTTGTCCTTCCACTCCACGACGGAGGGATCACTGCAGCCACCGTCAGAAATCCCCTTCGACAGCTTCCAACCCTCATTACCCGAGGAGTATATGACCAGTGAAACGGTGTTTGTTCCTCCAGCTGCGACATTGGACTTAATGCCTTCCACTGGGAACACAAGCGTACCGTCATCCATCTTAACGCCCGATCCACCGCCTCCAATCAAATCTGTCAAAGATTCTTGTTGTTGCATGTTAGAAATGCTCTGGAGAGCGTCAATATGATTCCAATGAATTCGTTTTTTACTCTCCTCATCAATACTGACGTTCCCTCTCGACAGCAAAAGTCCCCAATAAGCCGAAGTATTATCGGCATCATCAAGGTTGTAGATTCCAGCAAGCATGTAAATCTCACTTCCCTTCACGACTGTTGTTGGTCGGGCCACATCTACTCTCTTCTCGCGTTCGAAACTAGCCTGAGCAGCGATTTGAGAGGCACACTTGCCTTTATCGGAAGAAAATTTCTCCAGTAATTGTGTATTCAGTTTAGTTTTATCCAACTCCTTGCTTGCTTGTTCACCAGTCCACTCCAGAAGTTCCGAGGAAATACCAGTAAAACTGCCTTCTTCCCTCTTCGTGTCCTTCGCCTCGGCAACGGCAAACACGTCACCATTCATTTCAACAAGACTTGGAACACGGAGCAAACTCACCGTTTCTTCAACTTTCAAATCTCTCCAAACAAAACGTTTCCCATTTGAAGATTCCGGGCATGACGCCGTCTCATCTTCCGCAGCTGCACCAGTGTCACAGCACATCATCACGACGAGGAGGAGCAGCACCGCAGAGTAAAAGAGATGCCGGGACATGTTGGACCTCTGCGGCTCACTCTCTCTTCCTTCCCTCCTCCTCCCGCTGGATCCGGTCACGCGGCGACGGTTGTGTGTGCGGGGTGCCTTGACTGCAGCAACACGTGAGAGCATATAAATATGTGTGTGGGCGGTGTGTGTGTGCTGTTGGTCCCCTCAGAGCCTTCGTATTTCACAGTAGCGATTCGCGCTTGTTTTCTTTTCTTCCTAGCGTGTCAGTAAAAAATAAATAAAGAAAAAAAATACCGAATAAAAGAGGTAAAACAGTGAACACAGCCACCCATCGACAGCGAGTGGCACCATCATCCCCACCGCAGTCACTCCCAACAGCAACAACTCACGCACACAGACACACGGAACGAGAAGGAAGAACAGTGCACCGGGAACACACAGCAACTGTTACCACCAGCAGGGGTCACGGCGGGTGCGTAATTATTCGTCACACATCAGCACGCACTGAGAAAACGCCCACACAAAAAACAATCAGCGGGATGCGAAAGTGCACAGCCGCCCTTCTTAGCCACGACGCGCTGCCGCCACTCATTTTACTGCTGCCTCCTCCAGCGCACCCTCTTCTCCGACACGCGCGCACATTACCCCACACAGCGGGAAAAACCCCCACCGGCGAATTCACAGCGAGAGAGGCACTTCGGCACGTGCAGCAGCTCGGCGGGAATCCATACACACTTATCCCAGGCACCCTCAATGCCACGTCACCCATGGGCAGCACTCCAAGAAAGTCACGCTCGCTGCACGGTAACAAAACAAAACGCGGTGTTGCGTCATTCCTCCTCCCAAGTGCCGCCACAGCCACAATCCTGTGCGTGCGTGCGTTCCCAGTGTTCACGCCGCTCCACAGCGTGTGCAACACGGCCTGAGTGTGTGTGCATGTGCATTTGCGTTTGTCAGCGCCTACACTTGCGGAGCAGCTGTGCGGCAGAATAGAGCTCAAAGAAAGCAACGGCAGAAAGAGAAGCGGATAGCACACACGCAAATTCCTCATAACGTAAACACACACGCAGCCAGCGGAATGGGTGCTCTCAACCACAACACAATGAAAAAAACAAAACAAGAAGCCGAAGCGTGGGACGACCAGCGCACACACTCTCATTGCTCCCGTAAAGCAAAACACACACACAGGGAGAGAGAGAGAGAGAGGTCGACCACTCAATGCAATGGAAACAAAACAGAAACAGTTACGGTGCTCCGCCCATGCAGCCAGGCAGGACGGCAGCGGTGCGTGTGGTGCAAAAGAGAGCACCAACGGGCCTGCATGGGTGTGCATGCAATATATACAATGGGCACATTATGTGTGTGCTTCGTGAAGTGAGGTGAGGGCGAGAGTCCATGCAAGGGGACACACACAGAGAGTGAGTGAAGGACGAGTGTGAGTGCGGGCCGTGCATGGCTCTCTCTCCCTCACTCTCACGCAGCCACCACCGCAGCAGCAGCCGCACACGCAACAACAAGAAGAAGAAGAGGCAAAAGAAAGGAGGTGGCGTGGGAGGCCGCGGTGCTGCCGTCACTGTCGCCTGTATTTGCGGTGGCATTTGTACGAATGGCGTTTTTATCCTTTGTGAATTCTTTGTCATTTTCTGTGAGATGCTCATTTGGGTCATCTTTTTTATTTACTGCTGTTTCAGTGGATTCAGCATTGTTTTGAACCTCCGCGTTTCCCTTGGCGGCCTCATGAGCGCCAGCAACTCCAGCACGTGTAGAAACGGAGGGTAATGATAGGTCGTTATTTCCATTTGATGTACCATCCGCGTTAATTAAAGGAGCTTCTCCTTCTAGCTGCTTTGTTGAACCGGCACTGGTCTGCTTCTGTTGCAATTCTTCTAGAGGTGAATTTGCCAGTGAACCTTGCGTTGCCCCTGCCTCTATTAGTAAGCCATGCAGTGTCTCGTGTTTTCCGTTTTGTTGTTGTACGTGAGCGTCTTCTTGTTCTTCACGTTTCTTTTCCTTTTCTTCTTTTTGATCATCATTTTCTTTATCAACGTGTTCGCTTCCTGCCAGAGGTTTTTCTGCATGGTTGCGTGTTGCTTCCAGGTGACTCTCAATTGAATTACGTTCTGCAGCACCTGCGTCAGGTTCATCAACGTCTTCTTTTTCTATCGGAGGTTCCTCTACGGGTTTGCGTGGTGCTATTTCTTCGACCTTTGGTGGCTGGTCGTCCCCTTGTGGTGGTTGTTTGGTTTTATTGTGTTCTTCGATCAATTTTTTTCCTGGTGGTATTTCTTCTGGATTTTGTGTATGTTGAT